AAGGACACTCGCGGCTGTTTCGTCCCGCTGTCCCAATGGCGTTGGGCGTGGCACTCGCACGGCTCGGTGGTCGGTGCGCCATGCAGCCGCACTGCAACGCCTGTCGGTGAAGCAGCCGAGGCCCACCGCCTCCGCAGCAACGCGAGGCGTGCAACCAACCCCAACACCGCCACACCATCGCCCTTTTTCATTTTGTTTTATTCACGTTGTCGGTCTGTTTGCCCCATCACCGACACAAAAAATAAGTGCACACCTTCACAAAAGGGAAGGAACAAAGAGAAAAGGAGGCACGATCCCACCGTCCCGCCGCGGGTCAACACTCTCCTCCACCCACCACTATTGCCGCGCAGGAGACCGCAGTCACATCGCAGAGTCAGCACCACAATGTGCACCACACCATCGTGCACTGAAAAATGGGCGAGACGCAGCCATGCATCGCCCCGCTCCATTTTCCCACCACTCAAGTGTTGCGTGCCCGCACAAAGTGGCAAACAGAATCAGAGTGCACACAAACCCAATCAACACCCTCACTCGATGAAGCACATTATTCGCATGGAGTGACAACATTTGGGGACACACCAGCAGTAGCAGGCTGCATGGAATTTCCCTGCCAACCCTGCAAAGAGACGCAACAACTCTGCGGAGTAAAAGTGACAGCCCCGCGGTGTTGCCCGCAGTTCACATGGCAGGAAGAATTCCACGCACGCATGGTTCCGGACTCCTCACTGTTTGAGTGCCCAACAGAACATGTGAAAAACACCTGCGCGCAAGATGGCATTTAAATACGTGAAAAAGTCGGCCTGCTTTCTCCGATGGCGTTGGCGAGCAGTCCCACACAATCCAATCAAAGTGGCACGCCGGACAGAATGGCGTCCGTCAATCAATAAAAAAATGCAACACTGAAAAGGAGCAGAGAAGAGTTGGCACATGCGATTGCCAGTGACGACTGTGAGCAAACCCGCCAGCTCCAACTGAGGTGCCGAGAAGCACGTTTGTGTAGAACTGGCCGTCAGGCAGAGAGGATAAGCAAAACAAAAGGCCAGCAAACCCTCTTGTTCAATGTCTTCTGACCGCGACACCAGAATCAAAATACAATGGACGATAAGAGCGGCAACGCCTTCTCCAAAACATCTTGTCAAGAGGCCGCAGGACCTCAGGAAGGGAAGAAGGCAGCGGCAGCAGCCACAGCGGGGGAGGCAATAAAACGGCTGGCAGGCACCTTCACGTCGACGCGCACACCACATCCGAGTGGGCTGGGAGCACTGATCGAACCGCTCGGAAACACACGCATCAAATACGCAAAACAAAGTCGCGTTGAATCGACAGGAACTCCCCGCCCAAAACAAATTCAAAAGGTAGCGTTTTACAAGGGGGAATCCGCTTTTCCGACGACGGCACAGACGCCTCGCAGGAATTTCTTGCAAATCTCCCTTCGCAGGTCCGCAATAAAACGCAGCGGAATAAAAATAGAGCGCAAAGACGCAAAAAAAATAATCCTCCCAACCGACCAGGTGGCAGGCCGCCCTCGCGCAAGTGGACAAAACACAACTTCACTCCGGTCTTGTGGTGGTGGTCGTCTCGCAACATTTTTTTCCTTCTCGTCGCAGTGCACATCCCCCTCCCACAAATCATTTGTTCGGGCCATGTTCCTGCGGCCAAACATCGCGCTGCTGGATCCCGCGGCACAGTCCTCGGCACAGAAGTAAGTGAGGGGAGGAACAGGGACCGCAGAAGGTGCGAGCACATCCGAATTCGGTGGCGGTCGCTGCAGTGAAGATTGACGTCCCACGCGGTGTCCCTTTTCTAGGTCCGGTCCTCACCGTGCCATGCTCTCAGCGTGCGGTGCGCCGGCCGCGCCGAACATCCACACGTGCTTGCGTCTTACCGTCGCTCCCAGCCCCGTTCGTTGGCTGCATCAGGGATGCCGCCATCCGGAGACGGGCATAAGGACGTTGCATCCAACAAAACCTTCAGAGGCACCCGCTGGGCCAACGACGACCATCACTGCGGGATGTGTGGCCCTTCCGCCGCTCACCCCAAATCGCACTTCTACGCCTCCTCGAGCAGCAGCAGCGGCATAAATACACCGGCCCACTAGAGGCCGTCACCAGCCATTGCAGGAAGACCACTGTGCCTCAGTGCTATAAAACCCGAATTGCATTGACGGGCCACTTCGGAAAACCCTGTCGCATCCTCCCCCATTATGCGGAAACACATCCGTCGTGCATGTGGCCACCGCAGCCAAATGAATCTGGTCCAAATACCCTCCAAATCAAATTCCCCTTTCCCCAAGCCATTCCTTCATTCCATACGCCCTGACCCTCATCCGCACGTGCCCACTCACACAAACCGCCATAGACAGATGGTGGCCGCCCAACGCTCCGGAAAAACATGCCCAGCACGCACGCGCATAACAAATGACATGCGCAAACGCACGGCACAACGGCGGAGAAGCGCACACCAAAAGAATGCGGCCCTCCACAGCAGTCGCAGCCCACCGCGCGCATCACACCCGCAGGAAGAGTGACTCGCGGTGCGCGCTCCCTCTCTCCTCCTTCCCTTCACGCCCACGAAGCAGCAGCCACCCGCAACCGCCAGCACACGCTGCAAAAGAAGCATCCAAATACACTGCAATGCGCATTCTATGTGGTTGTGTGTGCCTGCAGACACACGAGGCAAAGAAGTAAAAACAGGAGCGGAGCATGTGAAGGGACGCACAAACAAAAATGTACAGCAGAAGTGCATGGCAGAAATAAAGAGAAAAAGACTGCTCAAGCTCATGATATTGCACTGCAGACAAAGCAGCGGCAATTCATAAAAAATTATTAAAATTTAAAAAATTCATCTTCACCTTTCCGCACCCCACACTTTGAAAAGAGAAAAAAAATGAAAAAAAAAGAAAAAGAAAAAAAAAGGCCGTCCTCTATTACGGCTACACCCAAATAATAATAAAAGAAAAAAAAAACACAAAAAAAAAGCACCCAACCACCATGTTGCTCCAGAAATTGTCTGCATATTTTGTCCAAAAATAAAATTAAAAGATATTTAAATGTCTTTCAACCGTCCGACCCTCCATGTGTGTCCGCACATCGTTTATATTTCACGGGATCATCTGCGTGTTGCTGCTCCCCTCAGCCCTCCCATCGGCGTGTGAGTGCGGCCCGCAGAGCACAGTCACTCGTGTGTGTGTGGGGACTGAGAGAAGCACGCAGACATGACGGGAGTCGCGTCTCTCCATCGGGAGAGTGAGCGCAGCAAAAAAAAGAAAAATCATCAGAGGGGAGAGAAATGCTCACGAGGCCGACCCCGAAGGGTGCGCCAGCGCAAAAAAAACACACACAGTGAGAAAGTCAAAGAGAGCAAGCAAAATTACTTTTTAAAAGCGGCAGGGTGTGGCTGTGTGTGTGTGGCGCTGCGGGTGTCTGCCCGCCCTGGCCGCAAGAAAACAAAACAAGAGGGAAAGAAATGTGTGCTCCGCCCCACAGGCACTCGTCGCACGCCCACACGTCACGGCTCCCTCAGCGCGCCGTTCGTCGCGGCCCCTCCTCATGCGTGCAGCAGGCGAGGCGCACAGGGCCGTCGTCATGAGCGTGTCGGTGGGTGTGCGAGTGGAGCAGTTGGGCGGGAAACACACGGCACCCCTCACAGGAAGAGTGCAGCAAGAAACAATTAAAAGGGTAGAAAAGAAAAAGAGTTCCATGGTGGTTGCCCCAAAAGCAAAAAATAGAAGGGATGGGGGATGAAAAATAAAATTTAAAAATTTAAACAAATTAAACCATTAAAAATGAAAAAAAAAAAAAAAAAAACCGTTCATATTGGTTGCCCCAAGGCAACAAGCAAAAAAGGGGGAGATAAAAAAAACGGAAACACAAAAAAAAAAGAATTGCGGAGAGTAATTCATTACCGGACGTGCGTCGGTGTGGGGGATGGCGCAAGTGTCCCACACTGAGGCCGCACACTCCTCACGCAGTCGCAAAGCCCCACAGTCCCAGCAGAAGCAGCAGCGGCAGCAGCACCCTCCCGTACGCGGAACCAGCATCACCATTTGCCCCACCATCACCCTTTTCTCGTGCCGTCCCCTCATTCCCAGCAGAAGTCAAGCGTCCCGCTGGCGCATGTTGGGTATTGGCGGTTCTCCCCACAGTTGTCCTCCCCGGTGCTGCTGGTACTTCCCGTGGGCCAGGCACCGCAGGTGCAGCAGGTGCAGCAGGTGCGACAGGTTTGGGAGCAATTTTCACTTGTGGTTCTGGAGCTCTCGTCGAAACGGGGATCCTGTCCTTGATTGCACGCATCTCAGTGGGATTCAGTGGGCGGTTGTACAGAAAGACGTTCGTCACCGTCACATGAGGTTTTTTGCCGATCTTCTCCGGACTGGACTCCTTCGGACTGGACTCCTCCTGACTGTCCTCCTCATCATCATCATCACCACCATCATCATCATCATCAAAGTCGCACGCGCCAAAGCAAAACCCAAAGGGCTCAAGTGGTGTCTCAACTGTTAACGGCGCTTCTTCCCCCAGCGACTCACCATCAATGTACACAGAGGCCTTGTTGCCTTGCAGCATGAGTGCCACTTGGTGTTCTTTCTTCGGCACCCAAGGCCTGCTTTCCGTTGTTAGTTTTTTATCGCCTTTGGAAATCGTCTCCCACTTGTTATCCGCGGTGTACGACAGTCTCATGAAATACGGGGGCTCAGCGTCACCCAACAGCGCAGTCAGGAGAGGAGTTTTCTCACTCGGAGCCTCTTCGATGGTCACCGACGCCACAAGTGTGAAGTTGTGGTTCAAAAACACATGACGCACATTATCACCCCGAGTGTTCACAGGCCACATTACCCTGGAGTCAGTCTCCGTCAACAGAAACCCATCCTTGACCTTCGTGGCGTTCGTCACCGTCGCATTCAGGCAAAGGTACTCGTCGTTCCACGTGTCGTCACTGGCCGATGCGTTTGACAAAACTGCCACCAGACCCGCCGTGGGTATAGAAAAGCTGGAGAAGAAAACGTCCTTTTGCGACCAAGTACTGAGGACGGACTCGATTTCCTTCAGTTCCTCCGTCAGGCGGGAGAGTGAAATGGCACTGCCTTCACCACTGACCCTCCGTTGTAAAAGATGCAACTTGCCATCCGAGTACAGCAGGGTGCTGGCGACCTCCTTCTTCCCAGCACTGTCCATGCCAACCGGTCCAACAGAAAACGAGCGGTTGTTGTCCGTCACCCAAAGGTAGAGCGGATTGGCGTTTTCCTCCGTGGCGTACCCTCTCTGTGTGTACAGCATGACCCTCCTTTTCCCAATGGTCGCGGTGATGAGGGCATCCACATGCAGGCTTGAATCCTGAGAGGCTTCCGATTGTGAGTTGACCCACACGCCTGGAAGCGTCCCGATGGCCTCCGTCCACGTTGTCCCCATGTCACGCGACTCGTACACCCTCTGGCTGCTCTCGCAGTCAACAATCATGAGAAGTGATCCCTCCCACTCGGTGATGCGGGGGCCAGTGCAATTCGCAGGTGAAATGTCCTCAGAGAGCGACCAGGTACTGCC